AGGCTCCCTGCCGAGCAGGGAGCCAGATGTGGGACTCGATCCCGGGACTCCAGGATCATGACCTGAGCCGAAGGCAGTCGCTTAACTAACTGAGCCACCCAGGCGCCCTGACTGGTGTCTTTATAAGAAGAGGAGATTAGGGGGCCCCTGGGTGGCTCAGTAGGTTGAGTGTCTGACTCTCGGGTTCGGCTCAGGTCATGATCTCCTGAGATGGAGCTCTGCACTGGGCTCATGCTCAGCGTGCAGTCTGGTTGTCCCTCTCCCTCTGCTCTTTCTCTCTCATTAAAGGAAAAAAAAAAAAGGAGATTAGGACACAAACAGGAGGGAAGACTATGTGAAGACACAGGGAGAGGACAGCTATCGGCAAGCCGAGGAGAGAAGCCTCAGAAGAAACCAACCCTGCTGACACCTTGGTCTTGGACTTCTAGCCTCCAGAACTGTGAGAAAATAATTTTCTGTTCTCAAAGCCCCCCAGCCTGCACTGCTTTGTGACGGCAGCCCTAACAAATTAACACAGGCTGGTATAGTCCCAAATGTGAATCGCATCACCTAGGACCTTAGCGCCATTTCTTTTATTTATGTATGTATGTATTTATTTATTTATTAAAAGATTTTATTTATTTATTGGACAGAGAGATAGAGAGAGAGCACAAGTAGGCAGAGTGGCAGGCAGAGGGAGAGGGAGAAGCAGGCTCCCCACTGAGCAGGGAGCCCGATGCGGGGCTCGATCTGGACCTGAGCTGAGGGCAGACGCTTCACAACTGAGCCACCCAGGCGCCCAGCACCATTTCTTTTAAAAAGCTTTCCTCCTTTTTATTTTGTTGAAAAATGTATAAAATTTGGTTTTTATCTAAATACATTGGAGCAATGATTAAGGATTCACATGGCCTGGCCCTGGCATACTGGAAGAGAGGGGTATTAACTCTAAAGATGCAGCTCAGGTGCCTGGGTGGCTCAGATGGTTAAGCGTCTGCCTTCGCTCAGGTCATGATCCCAGGGTCCTGGGATCGAGTCCCGTGTCAGGCTCCCTGCTTAGTGGGGAGCCTGCTTCTCCCTCTGCCTCTGTGTCTCTCATGAATAAATAAATAAAATCTTAAAAAAATGTATACAGCTCACTATAACTCTTTTTAAACCACTTTTTTTAGATTAAAATTTTATTTGAGAGAGAGAGAAAAAGAACGGGGGGAGGCGCAGAGGGAGAGGGAGAAGCAGACTCCCCGCTGAGCAGGGAGCCCGATGCGGGGCTCGATCCCAGAACCCTGGGATCATGACCTGAGGCAAAGGCAGCCGCTTAACTGACTGAGCCACCCAGGTGCCCCATGACTTAATTCTTAAAAAAGGAATTTGGATCTAATACTTTCATGGTCAACCTTTAATAACCCAACCACTCAGCTGGATCAGAGGGCTCTGTGTTTTGTAGCCACGCCATCTTGATGAGCCCCAGCGACAGGGTTCTTAACATCAAACCCAGACGGTGGCCTTTTATGGAAGGAGAAGTCTGCAGCAGCCGCTTCCCTCACAATCCTTCAAGTTCAGGTTGTCTCTACCAGGCATTGAGATAGATAAAGTCTTGGGCCCAAACATTTCCCAATAAAAGAGCTTGAGAATATTTAAAGTTCTTTGGGGGAGAAATAAAATAAGACAAAAAGGAATAAACAAGTAAAAATCATGAGTGCCCCTTCTGAGTTGAAGGAGGTCGGCCTAGATCTCTTCACCAACAGGATGTGAACTTGATCTCTCATATTTTATGTCTAAAGTGCCTATCTTTCCCTTTGACCGGCCATCTGGAAAGAACACTCTCTCACTTTGCATTGTGGCTGGTGGTGTGAGAGTTGGCTCCGATTGAATGCCCGCAGGACGTGAAGGAGATCTGATTGAGAAAACCTTTTTTTTTTTATTTGTTCAGAGAAATTCTATAAGGGTGTGTGTTATGTGAAGTTTTTACCTGAGAGGCCTCCAGAGCCAGACCGACGGGGTGCAAATCCAGCTTTGCCATTTGCAGCTGAATTGGGCAAGTCATTTACCCTCTCTGTGGCTCAGTTTCCCCATTTGTTCAAGGAGAACAGTCAAAGCATCTATCTCAGGGAGATGTGGTAAGGACTGCGTAAGTTAATATTGTAAAGCGTTTAGAACACCGTCTGGCACCTTGTTAGCGATCGCGGGCTAATACAGTTATCATCTGAATTACATACACCAGTCTCTCACAGAAATACCTTTGTAGGATTGTATTTTAATGTTTTGACCTTTGCCTTTGACATTGCCCCAATGGAATAGTGTTTCTATGTGAATCCCAAGAAAATGAGTGATCTAGGTCTCAATCTCCTCTTTATTTGCATGTGGTTACAATTTATAAATACACTTGCCATTTTCCTCCCCCTCCCAAACTCCCCCTTCTACCTAGTAAGTGTGTCCAAACCCCCGGTTTTTAATGACTCCCTTTCCTGTTAGGCGGAGAGGGGAGGGGTGGTCCTCCATGTAACTCCATCTTCATATAGGGTCTACTTCAGTCCGTGTGACGTGCGGGCTCTCAAAGGGCCTCTGAAGCTTGGGGATGAGCACCACGAATCTGCTGGAGGTCCCACTGATGTCCTTGCAAGTGACAAGGACTGGCCTCCTTCTGTGCCATGCTGAGGGTGCAGCACACCATGGTGGGCAGCAGTGAGCATCATATGCCCTGTCCGTGCCGGAAGCTGAGCTGCTGCAGGCCCAGTGGGCAGGAGGGTCTGCAATGAAGTCTCAGGCCTGCTCAGATGGTGGTGAGAGTCTTGTGGCGGGTACATACCCAGCCAGTGCCTGGCCCTGCTCTCGGAGACGTGTCTGAGGCCCGGCCCCTTACGGTCTGCCTCTCAGGGGCCCTACCCAGGCCCTCGGTCAATCCCGTATGGGTAGGGTAGCCTCAGGGAGAAGGTGCTCTTGCACTCCCTTCTCCTGGCTGTTCCCAGACACCAAGAGGCATGGGTGACGAGTTGGGTCCTTGGCCCTGTTAGAGGGCATGGCAGCCCAGTGTCTCTGTTTCAGCCAGGTGCCAAGCTTTGCCATCCTCCTGGTAGGGTGTAGAGAGCCCGGGAGGGCCAGGGGCACCCTCTTCAGGGGTGGGGTATGGAGGCTCTGGGGAAGCAGGGGGGTCTCCAGGGCCCCGTGCTCCCCCCAGGACTGGCCCATTGTAGATGTAGATGTTGCCGGTAACGGTCACAGACCCGCCAGTGACATGAATGCCGTTGGTACCTGTGGGAAAGGAGGCAGAGTGAGAGGGACCAACGGCGAGCTATTGGAATCTCTGTCTTGCTCTGTTTTAGTCTTCTCATTTCTGTCTGGCTCACACTCTCCTCCTGCCCACCATCCCTCCCGCCCCACCCTTCCTTCCCTGCCCCCTCTCCTCCCTGCTGCCTGCCCTAGGCTCACCATGGGCCACCTGGCTTTGCTCTGGGAGCTCAGGCTCCAGCTCCCTGGCCTGGCTGAGAGGACTCTGCTGCTGTAGCACCTCTTCCTCCAAACTCGGGGGCGCTGGGAGCCTGGCCGAGGCCAGGGCTGTATCTCTAGGGAAGGGCAGAAGTGGCTTTACCAGGTCAGGGAAATGTGGGTTGACCCTTGGAAGCTCCCAGCTTCCGTCAGCAGAATTTGATTCCTCTCCCTGTAGGAGAGAGGCAGAGAACCGACCGATGACGTGGGCCTCAGACCCCAGCTTTCTTTAATTCCCACCCCCCACCCCATGCTTAGGCAGCTCACTGTTCTCCTCTACTCCACTTCATGCTCCCTGCCACAGGGCCTTTGCACTAGATGTCCCTCTTCCTGGAGCACTTTCCCCGAGATGTTCTGATGGATGGCTCCCTCACTTCTTCAGCTCTCTGCTCAAATATCAGTTTATCCAAGAGGCCCTCTCTGTCCACTCTAAGATAATGTACCCCCACCCTTTGCCACTGTCACTCACTGTCCTGCTACCATGCTTTATTTAGCAACTATGACCCCCTGATAATGTATTTCTTTAACTTTAGCCTTGCTCCCCTGGCCTGTAAGTCCAGGAGGGCAGGTACTTTGCTTTGCTCACTGCTATATCCATGGTGCCCAGAACGGTGCCTGGCATGTGGTAGGCTCAGTCACTTATTAGCTGAGTGAATGTTGAGGCCTTACACTCTTACCCTGCCTACCCCTCCCTGTTCACTTAGCCCCGCCTGTCCTCCTTGCTGCCTTCTCAGCCTTCCCCATTACCTCTGGACGCCTCTTGAGCAGGGATCCTGCAATGGAAAATGAAATGGGGGTCAGGCCTCCAGTAGGCCCTGGGCCCCCGGGCTTGCACCCTTCACAGCCCACTGAGGCGTTTGCCCCCCACCCTGGGTTCCCAGAAGGAACGAGCTATCATCGCCTTATCTCCAGCCTCAGAATGGGGGGGCTGGGTGGAGAGGATGTCTGTGCTGGGGGTGGGCACTGCAAGTCTTCAGGGCATGGACAGGCAGAAGGGTTGGCCCCGGGGAAGCTGACTGTCTCCCCCAAACTCCCTCCCTCATGCAGGTGGGGACAGCCAGCCGGCCAGGCCCGCCACCCTGCCTGCATCCAGCTCCTTCCTACCCAGCTTCCTGCAGAGAGAAGGGTGGCTCTTCCAGGTGCAGGCCAGGACGGTGGTGAGGAACAGGAATGAGGCCAGCGGCAGCAGGATGGCCAGCACCATCACAGTTCCTGCCAGGACAGCAGACAGGAGAGCCATGATGACACCACGGAGGGCAGGGTCTGGGGGTGGGGGTGGGGGCGCTAAGGACCAGCTTTCTAGTTCTCTGGGTGACCCAGAGAAAAGGGAGAGCAGCTTTTTCCTTCCAGACCCACTGCAGTTCCTAAAGGCAGAATTAGAGAAACTTCCCTTGGGTTACACAGAAGGGGAACCAAGTTGGACTTGGGGAGGACCTCCTGACAGCCAGGAGAAACTCTGTCATAGATGGAAATCTTTGGGGGTGGTGCTGGTGGCCACCACGTAGAGACCCAAGGACTGGGGCAGCCTGTGGGTGAGAACAGGTGCATGCACAGTTGGGTTTCCAGGGCTGGAAGTGGGGGTGGGAGGCGGTACAGGGAGGGTGGGGCTTGGGTTTATAAGCAACTCAGGCCACAGGGTAGAGCCACACTTCTGTGGACATGAGCATCTTAGAGAGAGGCCACTGTAGGAGCTGAGATTGCCCCTCTATCTCTGTGGGGGTGTTTATGAGGGTGGGAGAGGAGGGGCTGCAAGGTCTCCACTCCCTTGCTCAGGGCAGGTTCCAGGAGAGGGAGGGAAGGGAGGCTGGGACTTGGGATTCTCAGGTTCTGGTATGTAGCCGTGGATAATTTCTGTCTTTCACAGCAGAGTCTACAGTGCCCACCAAGTGTGTTCTGGGGAAGGTCAGGAAGACTTGGACATTTGCATCCTAGGAGCTTGCCCTTTCTGATCCACCTAAACCTGGGGCCTGAGGGAAGACAGAGTGGGAGGCATGGGAAAAAAACTGGACCTGGAGTCCGAGACATCTGGGTCCCGGCCCAATTGGGTGACTTTTTAAGTCATTCCTCCTTTTGGAGCACCTCAAAGAGAAAATGAGGGGGTTAGGTACATACTGTCTAAAATTCCAGCTCTGAAGTGCCAATAGTATTTGATACATGGTTAAAAAGTAACAAGAGGACATGGAAAAACACTTATGATGTATTTGAAAAACCAAGTTACAAAATATTCAAATGACTCCACTTTTAGAAAAACAATTGTATGTATAGACATACACGGAAAAATGTCTGGGAGGATATATTTAAAAATGTTAAGAGTGGATATGCTAAGTGATGGTCCTATAGGTGATTTTTATTTATTTTTATTTTTTATTTTTTAAAGATGTTATTTATTTATTTATTTATTTATTTTTTTTTTT